GGGTGTCAGTCTTGGAAAATCTCTCAGCGAGGCGGGTTGAAAAGCCGTAGCTGAAACCGAGGACTTGGGCCGGAGAAGTGGCCAGGAGAGAGAGATGCCCTTGGCGTGGGGAGAAAGGGTTCCGCCCCGGTGATGAATTAGGGCCAGTCCTCAGGGACCCTCGCTCCCTGCAGCGCGCAGGCCGCTGGAGACCCCGGGTCACCGGGCATGAGGCACCCAGTTTCCTGCCGTGGTCCCAAGCGCCTCTCTGCTTACAGCGGCCACGCACCCAGCCGCGCGTAACTTAGGCGGGCTTCCCGGCCTTCGCTGCTCCATCCTTAAGCGAAGGCGAGAATCAGACTTACAACGTGGAGTTGCCACGTATGTTGAGCGAGCCAGCGCGCAGCAGGAGCTCAGTAAACGCTGGTCACCGCAACAACTGTGAGGGCAGTTGGGGAGCAAAAGTCTGCCCCTGAGCTCTCGAGAGGCCGGCTTTCTCTTGCCTGAGCCCTGCTTTTTATAGAGTCCATTTCGGCAGTGGGATGAGCCCTGGGCTGGAGCCAGGAGACCCTGTTGCAGTCCCAGCTCCTTCTCTGATGGCTGTGTGACTGGTTAAGCCCCTTTCCCTCTCTGGGCTGCAGTTTTCTCCTTTGGGCAGGGAAGGAGTTGGACAGAGGATCTTCTCAGCCTGGTAGGTCTGTGATGTTGCTTGAACACCACCTATAGAGGGATCCGAGGGGGGGCCTCTGACCAGCCCTCAGAGGCCGGCCTGGCAGGAGGGATCCTCAGCTATAGGCATGATTTCAGTGGGAAAGGCGATTGGAAAATCTTTCCCCTTAGCATAACTGCCCCAGACCCCTGCATGCTTTGTTTAGAGCTGGGTGGAGATGGCTCGTTGCCATGCTCTGAACAGGCTTAACCTGTGCGCACACACACAGAGCACACTCCCAGTGAGCATAGGACACGCACACACAGATATACAGACAGAGCACACTCCCAGTGAGCATGGGGACATGCACACACACACTCATAGCACACACACATACAGAGCACACTCTGGACACGCACACACAGACATACATAAGCATAACAGACACACAGAGCATGCTCCCAGTGAGCGTGGGGACATGCACACACACATGCACACACATAGCACACATCCACAGAGCTGCTCCCATGATCCATGTGGAAACCACACCCCTGCCCCCACCTGGTGTGCTGTGGTTGGTGGTTTCGGGACACCTGGACTCCGGATGTAGTGTTGCCAGGTACAGCAAATACAAATACAGGATGCCCAGGTAAATGAGCAAAAGAGCCCTAATGGCTGAATTTTTGTAACTGACTGACAAAAGCTGAATATCGGGCATTTGGGGCATCCTGCCAGACCATACAGGATGCAAGACATATCCAGCAAACACAGGATATGCCTTATGTATACAGGATGCTGGCAACCCTATCTGGAGGCCCCCAAGTCGGAGATGAATTGGACTGAAAACTATGGAAAACTTCCTGGCTTGGAAACAGAATGCTCTTGGGGTTCGGGGAAAAAGGGAGCAAGTGGAGGACAAGGCCCAGGGCAGGGCTTAGAGCTTCGGTGGGGAGAGGCGTGGCTGAGCTGCCTTCCAGAGAGCTGACGCCCCTCGTCCCCGCTGACCAGCGCCCAGCGAGCACTGCCATTCCCTGGGAGCTGCCGACTGGCTGGGTGATGGGCTGGGTGAAGATATAAGCAAGCCACTGGCAACAGAATTAGTGAGCAAGGTGAGTTGGTGGTGAGTGGAAGCCATGTGGCTCCGTCTTAAAGTGTGTGACGGCTTTTAAAGAAAAGGGTGCGGTGGTCAGGGAAGGCTTCCCGGAGGAGGTGACGTTCAGGCTTTGGTCCTGGCTTGCTCCTGATCCAGTGTGTCCGGATCAGCACCCTGTACTTGAAGGCAGGCCTCACTGGACTGTGCTCTCAGCAAGTGACCCTGGCTACATACTCAGGGGCTGGACAGAGGCTCCTGGTGGAAGAAGAAGCGAGTGTCCATGGCGGAGTCTGGAAGAGCTGGGGAAGCCTCAGATCTTCACCTGCCCCGGACCTCCTCAGTGCAGCAGAGAGCAGACAGGTAAGACCCTGGGGTTTGCCGTCCTGTGGCCCCGGCTGGGAGGCTGCTCTGCAGAGAAGTGGAGAGCCCGCCCCTTCCTGCCCACAGGGATTCTAGATGCCCAGTGTGGGCTTAGTCCTGCTGCACAGGGAAGGGAAGACCCTCTCCTTGTCGCAGGGATTCCATCTGGTTTTTATTCTCATGTGTAGCAGCGACAAATGTTACTGAAAAACACACACACAGAAGAAGGCAAGAGAACCATAGCTCCTCCCAGAATGAACGTTTCATCACTTCGGGTCCGAGTGGCCTGATGGAATTGACGGTCGGGCTCGTTAGGCGGGGGAGTCCCCCGCGGCGAGCAGCTCGCATCAGGGAGGTTGCAAAGGGGCTTTACTTCGGCATCAGTGAGAAACTCGGCTTCCAGAGAGAAGCTGTCCGGCAGGGCGGACCCCACGCTGAGGCTCCTCCTCCTGCTCAGTGGAGGCCCCACTGGGCTCTGTTTCCCCTTCTCCAGGGAAGAGGTCCTTCCAGGGCCCAGGCACCAGCCATGGGCCACCCTCTCCCTTCCATCTCTCAGGTCAAGACCCTGGATGGTAGGAATTGGAAGAGCTCTCAGCCAGGTCTATTCCAACATGTGGGGAAACCGAGGCACAGGGATGGAGGGGTTTGCTCAAAGTCCCCCAGCATGTCTGGAAGAGAGTGGTTACAGAGTGGGCTCTGAGGGCAGAAAGACGGCTGTGTGAACCTGGACAGACAGCAAGTGCCCTCGGCCCGTGGGACCACAGAGGGACTGAGAGAATACTGTATCCCTAAGGTGCCTAGCACTGTGCCTGGCGCAGACAGAGGGCCCAACACTGGTTATTGATATCCTTCTGTTTGCGGTCCTGATTGGCAGCGCGGCCCGTTAGCCCACGGCGGGGCCTCCTCTCCGCCTTGGCAAGTTGCCCAGCGAAGGTCAAACACAGCAGCTCTGCTCTGGCTTTGTCCTGCGGCCTGGAGCTAAATGGCAGCAGCCTCCGCAGACCAGGCCACAGGGGGGTGGGGCTTCGGCAGGGGGGACAATCCTGTGGGCAGGAGCATGTGTCCTCACTGTCGTCACCCAGCGTAGATGGGCTCCAGACCGCCCCTACGGGACGAATGAATGAAGACGGGTGTTGGCCTGTTGACTTCCCCGGACCTCGGACCCCTCCCGGCTCTGCCCGAAGGCAGGAAGAGCGCGAGGTTTGGAGCCAGCTGGCCTGTTTCTTCATCTGCGAAAGGGGAGCTGCTACTGAGCCTCACCCCACCTCCACCTGCACAGGCACGCAGCTCCTCCCACCAGGTTCCTTACCACCCTTTAAACAGGCAGGAGACACATTCCTACTCCCGCTGAGTGGGCGAGGCAGCTGGGGCCCCGAGAGGGCACGGAGAGGGTAAGTGACTTGCCCAAGTGATCATCAGCAAAGCCAGGGCCTCAGGCCAACCCCAGGCTTCCAGGCCAGTCCTCTTGCTGCTAGCGTGTTTCCTTTCAGCAGGCTGAAATTAAGCAGGCCGGCGGTTTCTCAGCCCTTCTTCCATCTGCCCTGGCTCCGGGAGAAAGGGGAAGGTCCCCAACCGAAGATGCGCGATGTAGGCGTGGGGCTGCAACCCTAGGCCAGGAGGTCCTGTTTAGGCTGCCTTCCGGGTGAGATGTGAGGAGTTTTCCCCCCAGCGCCTCCCACAGCCCTGGACAAACAGCCCTCACCCCCTGGCTGGGTGTCCTGGTGATTAGGATTTAATGAATTGGCTGCAGAGAGCTCAGCAGGCCGGGGCCCTTTTTCCAGGCATAGGGAATGCACCTCTGCCCTTGGTGGTGATGGAGTGGGCTCTGAATTTTGTTTTTGGGTCAACCTGCTCCTTGTATATCTATTTAGAACCAGCAAGCCACCCCCACCCTCCGCAGAGCATTTTATTAGGCTCTTTTGAAATTGGGAGTTTTAACAACTTGCAGTACAAATATAGAAGCCTTTAAGGAGAGTAAATGAAGTTGGCCAGGGGGCATGTGCAGGGAGAAAGGAGGAAATCCCAAGCTGGGTTTCGAGAACTTGTTTATGTTAGTGACAGCAGGCTGCGTCTTCCGGACAGGAACACCCCTGGTTTACAAAATAAACACTTTGCCTGCATAAGTCTGTTGAAACCACAGGACCACACTAAGAGGCGGTGATGGTTTGTTTGTCCTATTATTTTGATTTTACAGATGGTGAAATCGAAGCTCAGAGAGGTATTGAGATTTGCTTAAGATCATACAGCAAAGAACAGGCAGGGCTGGGATTCCTGACACCACAGTATTCCCCCTAAAGTCTTTGCTTTCCACTCGCAAGCTAAGTATCAGTTTAATGCCACAGTGAGTGCTAGGGAAGCTCCAGCTGGACCCACAGGCCCCTCTACCCTCTTTGTGTGACCCCCGCCAGCTTCTGTGGGCTTTGGTTCCAATGGCTCTTGACTGCAACCTTCCACCCAAGGCCACCTTTCAGCTACTGGAGCCACTTGCCCAGGCAGAGGGCTGAACGTGCCCGGGAGTCAGTTGGAGTGGTCCCCAGCCAGTGACTGACCGCAGGTGAAGTACATAAGCCCAGCTCCCTTTCCTGGAGGCAGGACGAACTCCGATGTATAATTCATCAGGAGCTCCAGGTGGGACCAGGCTGGCCCTGGGCCTTCACCTGGGATGGCAGCTTGTCCTGCTTTAACTACTCCCTCCCTCTAGCCTCTCCTGGGAGCACTTCCTTAATAAGTCACTGATAAGGTTAAATTCTCATTTCAAGGTTTGCTTCTGAGCCTGGCCTATGACAGGTGCCGAGCAAGGGCTTGAGGGTCAAGACTGTGAAAAGGAACAGCACATTTTTCTCTGTTTTTATAAAAAGGCTCCTAACCTGTAGTGTTTGCCAGTTTCTATGGTGTCAGTATTTCCACCATGTCCCATTCATGCCACCAACGTGATGCCACCGAAGGTGGAGTCGTGAGAGATGCACAGTCGGCTCCGTAGGCCAGTGCGAGCTGCAAGCACTGTCGCGGCAGGTGAGTTACCTCTATGGCTCTGACATCGCTATTGCTGGGCCCGATTGTAAGGCCCAGAGCCTGACTTTCATGGTGTCCGGGAAAGAAATGATTCCCTGGATCCGCTTGGCTGTGGCCCAGTGGGTGTCATGCTGACAAGCTGAGGCCATGGATGTCATTGTGAAAGTCAGCTGTCCCCACAGAGCGGATCTCCCACCCCCTGCCTGGGACATCACGCTGCTCACCCGCCTTCCTCTGTATCTGACCCTTCCCAGTCTGGGATCTGCACGGGGCTATTCCTGTTTTGATGCCACATTCATCCCCCACTCACGGGGAGCACTTTACAGTTTGTAAAGCACTTTTCACAGCCATCTTCTCATATACTCCCAACACCCCCAGGAGGCTGGCTGTGGGGGTGTGATGACCACCACTTTACAGATCATAACCCCAGGCTGTGGGAAGTCTACAGACTCGCTCAAGGTCACGCTGGCGAGTAAATGGCCACGGAGCAGAACCAAAGACCTGTGGGCTCCACAGCCCAGTTGAGTCCATTTTTGCGTTTCGGGCAGATTGGGCGTCATGAATATTCCCGTGTGCATCATAAACTGAAAGCTGGTTAGAAGCCACATGCCTGGATTTATCCTTTTAACTTAGTAATAGTAACCTTAAAAGTTCTGCCAACTCATATTCAACACTTAAAAATCCATTCGCCTTTTGGTTTTTAGTAGCAGGTGAAAACCAGGAGATTTGGGGGAAGAGGGGAAGTGACTCTGTTCATAGGCGACTCAGTGCCTCCCCAGCCTGTTCACTGTCCCCAGCCTCCCCCAAACCCAGCACCTCCACAGCCCAGGTGACTACGGAGAGGCAGGCCGAGGTAATACTTCAGTTCAGGGGCTTCAGGTCCACAGCTTCTTCAGCCAAGATGACAAAGGTATTTATTACAGGAAATCCCTGGCGAGGACCATCTCCGCTTCTCAAAGAGACAGCAATAAAGGCAGCCTTTTGCCCGGAGCAGTGGACTTCTGAGGATGCCCTGCCAGCATCCCACGGAGGCGGCATCGACGTTCCCGCCGGAGGTGGAATCTGAGCTCCTGAGGAGGAAGCTGTGAACCGGACATACCCGGGCCCCGGCCAGCAGATTTATACCTGGGACTTCCCTTGTGATCGGCTGTCCTCTCATCTCAGGGATGGAACAGCTGTAGTGTTTGTCTAGACTCTCAGGGAAGATCAACCTGCCACGGGCTGGACACACCCACCCACCTGCACGCCCGCACCCACTCTTTGGAAAGTCTCATCTTGGTTTTCTTCCAGGGCAGTGTTAAAATGTGAGTCACTCGACGAACGTTTCCAAAGTTTGCCTGCTGGGGGATTTGTTGAAAATAGGTACCCTATTCCCATAACTGCCTCTCAGGCTCACAAGAGTCAGGGGTGGCTGATGGAGAATCCGCGTGATTAGGGAAAATGCAAGCTTCCTATCCTGGCGTATAAGGCCCACATACTCAGCCTGATCCTTCCTTTTGGTTTAATGCCCTGTAGTTGTCATCTTGACATTCTTTGAATGAGGTTCCCTGCAGGTTCATTTTGCATTGAGCCCTAAAAACAATGTAGTTGATTCTGGAGGGGAGCACCTTTGCCTGACACACTCGTGTGTCATCCACAGTGCCCAGCACTATACAAATTCAACCGAACCATGTTGTACGTGAAACTGTTAAACAAGCAGCAATAGGCCTGAGCTGTGCATGGTCAGTGTGGGGGTGGCTTGGACAAAGGGGGGAGGTGTATATGGGTTACGGAGGGAGAGACCTGGTGTCCAGGGTTCTGTCCCACCATGAACTGGGGTCTCAGTCAGGGAGTTCCTCTTCTCAGCTACAGGAAAGGGAGAAATTTCTCCACTCGTTTCTATACCAGAGACCAACCCCAGAAACAAACACACGGAACCAGACATCTGGCCATAAAACCTTGAAAACAGAGAGAAGCCATCCCCTTGGGTAATAAGTAATTAACAGCAGGTATTTCACTGAAGGGATTGGAGGGATGCAAAGCTCCCTCAGCAAAGCGATCAACAGAGAACTGGCGCTCACAGCGATTCTGAACAAGCACGCGGGCAATGACAATGAATGTTCTGCAAGTCCCAAGGGTCCCACGTACCAGGTGACCAACCATCTGTACAGTCGGGAGCTGACCAGGAAAACAAACACCAAGGCATGTATTTATAACAGAGGGAATGTAATACAAGGAATTTTTCACATAGGTGAGGTGGAGGAGTCTGGAAGACAGAGTTCAGTGAAGTCACTCAGAGATTAGGCAGAAAGCCGCTCCCACCGGAAGCTGGAGAAACAAAGGCGAGAGAGGGGGTGTTATGGGGGCCCCACTGTGACCTGGAATCAGGAAGGCCTATGCAGTGAAAGCTGGAGCTCTGCAGGGAGGCAGGAGGAGAAACACCCTGGCTCCCCTGCCCTCCCTCCAGTCTCTCACCAGTGTCTCCCTTTGGCTCACTAGAGTTTGGAAAATGCAGCCTCTTGGGTCATCTTCTGTCAAGTGTCTGTTCAAATATTTTGCCCATGTTTCCCCCACTCATCGGGTTGTCTGCTTTCTAAGTGAGTTGGAAAAGTTTTTATCTATTTTAGATGCATGTTCTTTGTGAGGCATATGTATTGTGAATCTTAGAGTCTGTTGCTTGACTGGTTTTTTTTCTTAATAGTGTCCTTTTGAAGAGCACAAGTTTGAAATTGGACAAAATTCTATCATTTCTTCCAGAAATTTTATAATTTTAGCTTTTATGCCCAGGCTTATGATCCATTTTAAGCTTATTTTTTTGTGCATAGTGTGACCTCTAGGTCAAGATTCTTTTATGGATTTCTACTTTCTCAGCACCATTTGTTGGAAAGACTATTCTTTACTTCCTTTCTTATGCCTTTATGACGTCTTAGTGAAAGTCAATTGACCATTATGTGTAGGTCTGTTTCTGGACTCCATATGTTTATTCTTACTCTTATACCACCCTGTTTTAATTATTGTAGTTTTATAGTAAGTCTTGAAATCAAGTAATGCAATTCCTCCAACTTTATTCTCCATGTTCAAAATTCTTTTGACAATTTTAAGTCCTTTGCATTTCCATATAAATTTTAACATCAGCATGTCAATTTCTATAAATACGCCCGTTGGGAGTTTTATTGGGATTGCATTAAATCTATAGATTAATTTGGGGTGAATTAACATTGTAACAATAGTGAGTCTTTCAACCTGTGAACATGGTACATTCCTTAATTCATTTCATTTCTTTTGGAAGTTATTCATTTATTTCAGCAGTTTTGTAGGTTTCAGTGTAGAGGTCTTACACATATTGAAACTTTTATTCTTACATATTCTATGATTTTTCTGATGCTATTGTACATTAAGTTATTTTTAAATGTAAATTTCTGTTTCCTGCTAATAGAATTGATTTTTGTATATTAATTTTGTATCTTGTGACTTTGATAAATGACTTATTAGTTTTCTAAGTTGTTTTGTTGATTTATTAAGATTTTTCTACCTAAGCAACAATGTTATCTGCAGATAGATACCATTTTACTTCCTTTCTTATGCCTTTATTTATTTTTATTGCTTTATTGCACTGGTTAGGATCTCTAGTGCAATAGAAGTGGTGAGAGAGAGTATTTTGCCTTTTTCTATCTTAAGGAGAAAAAGTTTAACTATCTTACCATTAAGTATGATGTTAGCTGAGAGATTTTTATGGATACCATTTATTAGGTTGAGGAATTTTTTTTCCCCTCTAGGCCTGGCTTGCTGAGAATTTCATTTATTATCATAAGTGTGTGTAAAATTTTGTCAAATGGTGTCTTTTTTTTTTTTTTTGCATCTATGAGATAATTATATTTTTTCTTCTTTATTCTATTAATGTGGTGAATTCTAAATTTTAAACAGACCTTTCAGTCCCGCTTGGTTTTAATGTATTACCGTTTTAAAGTAGTGCTGGATTTGGTTTGTTAATATTTATCAAGAATTTTTGTGTCTGTGTTCATGAGGGATATTAGTCTGTTTCTATTCTTGTAATGTCCTTATCTGGTTTTGTTATCAGATAATACTGGCTTCATAGATGAGTTGGTAAGTGTTCCTTACTTCTCAATTTTTTGAAAGAGTTTGTGTAAAATTGATATTAGTTGTTCCTTAAATGTTTATTAGAATTGACTAATAAAGTCAGATTTGGGTCTGCGATTTTCTTTAGGAGGTTATGTTCTTATTGTGAATTCAATTTCTTTAACTGATATATATCAAATTTTCTCTTTATTCGTGCCTCAGTTCTGGTAATTTTTGTCTTTTTGGAAATTTTTCCATTTCATGTAGTTTGTTGAATTTATATGCATAAAGTTGTGTATAAAATTCTCTTATTTATTTCCTCATGATATTTTAAATGTCTATAAGATCTGTATTGATGTCTTTTCTTTCGTCTGTCTTGGCAATTCGTCTTCCCCCCCCC